ACAACGTCTGCCGCCCAGGCGCCCACTAGCATTCATAGACAGCTTGCCGCCCGCCTAAAGAGGGTAATATTTACTCCAATTTTAAGGTATTTCGTTTACTTTTTATCTATCCATTTAAAGTTGATAGGCAAAGAAATTCTACAACCGTTTTTAGTAATTAGGGTATTTAATTTTTGAAAATATATTACGGATTATCTTCGTTTATTTTATATGGAATTTGACAATTGTTTTTTTAATCGAATTAGATTACAGCTTGGCGTATTAAGGAATGGCGTATTGGAATTAACCAAAATGATCTCTAGAGGATACCGCATGGAGGTCTACCTGACAATTATTAATAATGGGGCCAATATACACAATCGCCTCTTTAATATCACGAATTGTATATGATATACTAGGAGACGACCGCGGCTTCGTCTGCATCTTTGAATCAAAAGTTATATATATATATATATAGGCTTATGCCCGTCCTAATGATGAAATCTATCTTCAAGTCAAATTTAATTTATATCCATTCAACTATTTAATCGTGAAAATGTAACAAACAGACAGACAGGCAGACACAGTTTGGCATTTAGAATATTAGTATGAATGCAATAGCTTATTGATACGCTTGTACGTAAATACGATGTTACAATTAGAATTGTGCCGAAAATAGGCCCTTTTATAATAGACGGAATTTAATTAGAGAACAAGGAAGTTTTATCTGAAACTTATTGACACGATAAAGAAGTGAATGGAAAGGGATGCGTAAGGTCCCAAACATTGTACACAGTTAAATAGGTAGGTTAATTTGCATTATGGTACGAATTATATATCTATATTAGGTATGTATATTTCAATACAGTAAATAGTAATTATTAAATTAATGTTACGTATAACACCATTTTTGTCCTTTTCTAAATAATACATTTTTAGTACTCACAGTCATCTTGTAGTCTTATTTGCTTATATTTCTCAAACACAAATTCAAAGTTTATATTCAGGCACTGAACTGATATACATATATTTTATTTGGATTTTAAAGAATACTAGCGCAGTCAGCAGACGTTGTTTTGACATATAAATTAAAATCGCTACTAAAATATAGGGGTTAGTAGTAGAAGGGTGAAGTTAAGGTTGTGTATATATTTTTAATGCCACATTTTAAAAAAAATTGGTCCAAAAATAAAAACAGTCTTAGGGGTGCATAAACCTCATCATTTAGACGTATGAAGGTAGCCGATTCTCAGATCTACTGAATACGCATATAAAACGTCATAAAAATCGGTCAAACCATTTCGGAGGAGTACGGTAACTAATATTGTGACACGAGAATTTTATGTAAAGAATATAAACTCTTTTTTTTGTTGTGCACAATATTACTACAGTAATTCAAGTAATAAATAATCTTTATTATGCTTTATTTTTGTGCTACAAATTAAGGAAATGTATACACAAAAATGATGATGATGATGATGAAGCAATTTAATTGGTAAAAAAACATCTACCTATGTATTTGATTTGAAAATTTATTCATTTCTGATTTGAAATTTTTTTGCATATTTTTTACACATTGTCCCACAAGTTCCTAACAAAAACTCGAGTTAATTTCAGAAATAATCTTATTTGCATTAAAAAAAAAGATTTGAAAATTTATTAAAATTTTTTACACATTGGGCAATGTGTAAATAATTTTAATAAATTTTCAAATCTTTTTTTTTTTAATGCAAGTTCACAAGTTCCTAACAAAAACTCGGATTATTTTTAGAAATAATCTTATTTGCATTAAAAAAGTTCACACTTTTTTTAGATAGGTAATAAATATGTATACAGTATTGAATGCGTTTAGTATTTTATCCCGCGTCGAAACCTTATCGGCCTAGCATTTATATAATCCCAGCAAATTAACAAACTCGCTACAAACGAGCTGTACGAATCCCCGACCATTCCGAAATGTCAGGGATTAGTAAAAGAAGAGAGGAATATAAATATAGTTAATCCCGCGGCATTATTTCAAAGTTTGCGCATCATTCGTATACCTAATTAATTTTATTTTTATAGTAGTGAACCGCCCCGGTTTTGCTCGTATACACATCATATTGTTTTGTATATAAGTAATAAATAAACATGAACAATTAACACAGGGTCATCTAATCCCACGATAAGCGGAGCTTGTATTATGGATACTTAACAACTGATATGATTATACACAGATATTTTTTAAGTAAATAAATACATAATATGCATAGTAATATAAATACACCTTTGTATCGGACAAACAATTACATTCATAAATACAAATTTTCGCACTGTGCAAGGAATCGAACCCGTGACCATTGGAAGTAAAGCGGTGTGCTAAACCTTCAAGGCCATCAAATATTAATATATAGCCTATGACGCTCTGAAACACTGCACCTTTCAAATAGTCAAAGGATTTCTCGAATCGGCGCAATAACTCTCGAGCTCTCGAGAGTCTCTGCCCTTTCCGTTCATAATAATGATTTGGATTAACCAACTCCAAAAGAGGAGATTCTCAAATCTCAGATTTTTCTATCGATATATGAACCGATTCTGATGATTCTTTATATAAACTATTTTTTATAAAAGGTTACTTTCCCGGAGACCCAGATTTAGTGTCATTGGCATGGGACTATCGCTAAATGACTGTGATTCGGTGGTAGGGTACTAGATGACATCATAGTCCTCTGGACACTTGACTGGTAGTATGCGACGCTTACCACATATAATTAGGTTGGCTATCAGTTTGTTTGTCATTCTCGTCAAATACATATTGAGGAATTGGAATGGAACTTACTGCCTGTAGTATAGGTATATGCTACAGGCAGTAAGTTACATTCCAATTACAATCCAATTCACAATAAAAATAATATATTGTTATTTCTAATATCAAGCGTAAGAAATTACGGATGCGAATAATAGTCTAACATTATAAACACGAAAGTTTCTGAGTGTGGACAGATAGATGGATGTTTGTTTATTTCACAGAAAAATTACTAAACAGTTTTAATGAAACTTTGCAGTAATGTAGCCTATACATCAGAACACATAGGCTATAATATAAAAGCATATTACATAAATTGGGTGAAATATAATGATAAATGTCAAGAAGTGTGATGCAGACGAAGTTGAGCGTATTAGTTAGTTTCTATATAAAATAGAAAATTAACAATATTATATAATTCTCCAAATGGCAACCCTATCCAGGGACAGCAACTAGTATCTATGTAAATAGACCACCTAATCACAGGAACAAACTTCAAATAGGGTTAGAGGTATAAGCACAATGTTCCTTGTAATGAGGCGTACTTAATGAAGGCCTATGTTTACTTACCTCAAGACAATAGAATTAGGTTCCAGGTGACTGTATAGAGGGCAGCCACAGAAAATGCTGAACATAATTTTTGAACTCTACTACGTTGTGATAAGGTCTAAAAAAGCGTGAGATGTTTCTGTAAACAATGCTGACATTTATGTTTTTAGTAAAGAGGGAAATTATATAATATAACATTTCATAGCTGACAACGAAGACTCGCCTGCTGCTTCCTTGGGTTCAAATATACCTAGAAAAATGTAGGCTTGTCCATGGTTATATTCGCCAGCTGATAATGACTCTGACTGCTCCATCTGAGATTACAGTCGCGATAATATTTATGTACTTCGTTTGCTATATTTATTAGTATAAGGACAATATATCACGCTTCCACCCAGAGCCACAATTATTAAAAATACAACAAATGAACGAAAAAAACGACGCTCCAAATTTATTATATTTTATTGACCCTATGTGGGTCCCATAGTGGGGATTTTACTGACCTACACTTACATGACTCTATTTGAGGTAAAGCAAAATTAATAGTTACCCTAATAGTAACATATATTTTTTTAAACTATATTATAAGTAATGAAAAAATTACATTATTTTTATTTAAGTTAAAGAAAGTAGTTAAATAGTCATAAAACCGCCTTCATACGACACTAAAATTAGGGACAATATTGGAGCAGTGATGAGGAGCGCCTCAGATCGTATCCTAGAATGCCTCGTCTGAAGGGAAATCAGAACCAGCTGAGTTGATTTTATTCACACCACAACGACTCGAATATTGCCTCTGCTATGTCAAGGTGACCTCCACGTAGTACTTCCAGGACACGATTATGATTAATTTCTGGACATTTAATCACAATGAACTAACTGACATTAGCCTATCTTATCATCCTCCACAAGTACCCCACAACATAAACCGTTAGCGCAAACGGGTGCACCATTCCATTATCATCTATTACAAGAAATACCTGGAACATTCAATTGGTAATGTGGACCTCATAGCTAACAATGGACCAAGTCAGCTTGGCCACCACCCAGTTCCCTCTGAAAACAATAGTGATAAATTCCTGATGAATTTGTCACGAGACGTGTGACTTGCATCCCGCCAGGGTAAACCGTTAGTCTATTCCATTATTATTCAATTAGAAAAATATTTGGGGAACTCTTCACGACTTGCTAGCTTAACTACAGCGATTAAACTTCTTACTCTAAATATCATCTTTGACTAGAGCTTTGACAGAAGGACCATTTCACAAAAGAAAATATATAACTAATTACCACTTCTAAAAATATTTTTATGTGTATATCCACTGAACATGCAAACACTACTTATAATTATATACCTACGTACTGGCTATATTTAGTGGAGTATTGTTCGAATGCCAGACATATCTACTAACTAGCAAATGTTATGTATATTTCAAATATAGAACGCGTAGATTTCAAATCAAATCATGTCAGTGATTATTTCGCATGCTCAATAATAAACTGTATTAACTCAAAAAATATTTCTTGTGAAATTGACTTTAAATTTAAATTGTTAAAGACGATTACACAAAAAAAAAATTTTTTGATTAATGCAGTTTATTATTGAACGCGCGTTTGTTGAGTTTTAATTTTCGCTGGGCTGAGTCATTCAGACAAAACAATCTTTGTATGAAACTGTGTAGTCACATTTTTTTAGAGTAACATTTCAACATGTAGATGGTTACATAGATTCATTTTTGGCTTGTACGAGAGCGTACCCACTCTCAATATGTAATATTTATTTGCTCAGTGTAGTAACGTTTTTGTGTGAATGACTGATAAAAATTTTAGGTACTAAATTAAATAGTCTTATTCAAATAAGATAATTTATAATTAAATTATTTATTATACTGTGAATTTCATCAGATAGCTGCCGTGCAATGAGCAGTGATTTTTTGAACTCGTCTTATTATTTATACAAACTAACAAGAAACGCACTTATCCGTTCTTGGGATTGTCCAGACGGTTGGTTGAATCGTCTTCGAGGATCAAGTAAGTACTTATACACATTTTAGAATCATAAATAGGTTTGTGTATACATACCTAAACCTGAAAACAAACCAGTTTCTTTGGATGATAATAATAGATTCAGCGGATTTTGACGGGACGTGCATTGCATAGCATTTTTGCTGCTATTTTTTTAGGTACTAAATCGAGCACTAGACCAAAAGTTTAATCAAAAGTTCTTTAAATGTTAAAATATCCACGAAATATAAAATTACTCAATGGAATTTTCTTACAAGATTTAAACCACAAAGGTCACTATATTTCTTTTTATATTTGTGTTTTACTTTTCGTTGATAAAACACCGATAAAAACCCAAATTAATACCAAAGTCGTGGTACAGAAGAAACCTACCATGTTTAATTCCAGAGAAATTGTTTTAAAGTAAATGTATTAGGTTCACTACGACAAATAACAATGTCTGTAACTACTCCATATAAAAGATTAGCTAAAAAATATTGGTATTTTAAATTATCCACGTACGACACGATTTGGCAACCGCACAGGCTGATATATTGGATAGAGAAAATCCATTCTCCCAATTAATAATGGGTCCGATCATCTCAATTTGCCTCTTCACGTGTCAATTACGCAGACCGACATGTTGGCCTACCTTTTATACTTATATAGTATAACTAATTAATTAATGATAATGAAAGTAAAAGTCAGTTTGTTAGTGATAGGTAGGTACTTTACGTCTTAATGAATTAAGCAATCATAAAAAAATGGTTTAATAGTAATAAACATACATCCATAACAAATTTCGGCAAATTTCGGTTATACCTTCATATCAAGGTAGACTTCATACAATCGTCGTTTTTATGGATACCAGAATCTCGCCTATTCAGTCATCAAAGAGCTTGTAAGCAGTGTTTGGTAGAAGGGTGAGATAATGCAGTGTAATTACAAGATTTGAAGTCCTCCGAAATAGCAACGTATGTTATCACGAGCGTCACATGATAACGTGATGTCTAATCATGTACGTAGGCGATGGTTACGACTTCTTATTATGTGGGCCCTTAACTAGTTTTGTATACCAGTTACATAGAAACTATAATTTATTATAATTTTCTTAAAAAATATTTACAGAGCATTAGCGAACGTCACGATGGTGGAGGTAGAAAATCCTATCATCGATATTAGCTTGTTTATTGGAGGAATAGGTAGCTATGAACAATCTTTTTTTAGTAGATACATAGACACAGTATCTTAGGAAGTATGCACAGCGGCAGAACTAGTCTGGATTTTTTTAACAATATAATAACATATAATTCCACCTTTTTATTTACTTTTGAATGTACAATTCAAAAGTAAATAAAAAGGTGCACTACACTAGCCACACATTTATTTCATATTACTTTTTCCACGCAAATTTGACTTCTAATTTTGAGATATTAAATAGTTTATGACCGTCCTCATGGTCTTGAAAGGCATGAAACTAAATATAGTTTAAATCTAAATGCACCATGATAAAATATAGTTTCATGACAAATTCATTAGAAGCCATTTAGCCTAAAAAAAATATACAATAACTCTGTGGGGCACTTGCCGTGATTATTAACATGTAAATCCTATCTTAAGTTGTACAATGTTGGTATTACGCTTTTTTGACATTTTGTCGCTATGACATTTTGTTTTGATCGCAATGACATACCCGTGACATTTGTATTTATTGGCCATTCTCGAAAATGGCGGCTATTGGAATGTGTGAAACTCCTGGTTGTAAATCCATTGCACAATTACAATGTCCGACTTGTATAAAAATCGGCATACAAGGATCATTCTTCTGTAATCAAAATTGTTTCAAAAAGTCTTGGAAGACGCACAAAATTATTCACTCTTTGGCGAGTATGTTTTAGGTTAAGTTGCGGTGTTATATTACAATTTTATTATTAACGCTTAGTATATACAATTTGTTATGTTGTTATTGTTATAGAGGGCGAGAGTACAGATGGATCTAACGTCGAGTACAATCCGTGGCCTTCATACAATTTCACGGGGAAGCTGAGACCTTTCCCCGCCGGACCAAAGCGTACTGTTCCTCCTCACATCGGTCGTCCTGACTATGCCGATCATCCTACTGGTTTCCCAGCGTCAGAAAACGCAGTGAAGGGTTCTGGCGTGATCAAAGTCCTTGATGATGAAGAAATTGAAGGCATGCGAGTTGCGTGTCGTCTTGGACGAGAGGTCTTGGATGAAGCAGCAAAGTACGTGAATATCCTCTTCTAAAAATGTTATATTACAGAAGGATTTACACATATTTGTAGAAAAAGTCAATATATTTTATATTCTGCACCTAAAGAATAGTAAATATCAATGTTAACCTTAAATTAGTATAAGTATTTAAAGACAATAGATTTCTCATATAGTCATCTTTTACTTTGGATGCATATAGATGCATTACTATTCATTATATGAATTTTCAATATATTTCCACATATATATATATATATATAAACCAATAATAATAATAATAATAATATGAAATATGTAGAATTAAAATATACTAATTAAGATTTCAGTTTTTATTCCATGTCAATATTTATTGACATGGAATCACATTCTATTTTTGTTGAATAGTAAATTATTGTTTCCAGGATTAATGCATAATGAGTTAGTTGAGAATTTAATGAATGAGTTTTTTTATATGAGTATGGGTTACATTTACATAGTAATTGTTGTTGTTTATTCACTGTAGGGGCATAATCATAATTCCCCACGGTGCCAGCAGTCCAACTTGGGATTTGATTTACTATGTGTTTATTCTTTATTCAAATTCAAATTAAATTAAACACTATACATATTCATATTAAATAACAACATTCCTTAAACTGTGTTTAGTTTAAAAAAAAAACTTATCATACACAATAACGCAATTTATAATAATGTAAATAACTTTATATTATTGACATTTACAGAGTCTGTGATGTAGGTGTAACCACAGATGAAATAGATCGTGTAGTGCACGAGGCATGCATTGAACGGGAGTGCTACCCAAGTCCACTTAACTATCACAACTTTCCAAACAGTTGCTGTACTTCAGTCAATGAAGTTATATGCCATGGCATACCAGATTTACGTCCATTACAGGTTTGTGTGACAAATCAATTGGCAAATTTTCAAATTTGAAAATATTAGTAGTCAATGGATTGTTATTTAAAATAAATAGTCTTACATAATTGATTTGATTAATAAAAAGTTCCTTTAGAATTTTTCAAATGATTAAAAAGCACCTTTAGGATGGTGTATAGAGACTGTTCCTGTTGAGAGGCACTTTATTGATCTTTAAATATAAAAAGGAGTTACATCTATACATCTAAACATATAAATAAAATTGGAGTGAAAATATAATATATACATATAATAGACATATAAAATAATACATATAGACGAAGTCGCGGATACAGCTAGTATAAAATATGTTTTAATTTAATATCTTCAGGCTGTATGAAATTACTAAAATTAAATGTTTTTATAAAATGTTCTTCAAATATAAATTTATGGAATTAATTTTCATAGTAAATAAATATAGATTATCATAACTGTGTCACCCAGTTATACTAACACTAGTATAATTTTTAGGTATGAGGCTCTAGTACAGCCTGTTCCATTTTATTCATCCACCACTAGGACTGGTTTGTGTTTTATTAATTCTTATCACACCAAAAACTTTACATTCACCCAATCATTTAATGCTATAATCATTTAATATTATATTTTTACAGGATGGTGATGCCTGCAATGTTGATGTGACAGTTTACCACCGAGGCTTCCACGGTGATCTCAATGAGACATTCTTTGTTGGCAATGTCCCAGAAACCACACAGAAACTTGTGCAAGTCACATATGAGTGCTTACAAAAAGCCATTGATATTGTGAAGCCTGGTGAGAAGTATAGAGAGATTGGTAATGTTATACAGAAGCATGCTCAAGCCCATGGTTTCAGTGTGGTGAGGTCATACTGCGGTCATGGGATACATAGACTGTTCCATACTGCGCCAAATGTACCACATTATGCTAGTGAGTATAAACAATGAACTATACTTTTATTTTATAATATCCATAACACAAGCTCTGCTTATCTTGGGGACTAGATTACGCTGTGTGAATTGTCCTGAGATATATTATTTGGCACTGATTTATTCTTACTAATATTATAAATGCGAAAATAACTCTGTCTGTCACACTTTGACGTGAAAACTACTGAAGCAATTTAATTTAAATTGAACAAGACTTTGAACAAGAACATAGGCTTTTCAATGTATGTATTGAATTGTATGTAAGTATTGTTATTTTTAAAACTAGAAAGAGAGAACTTATTTTTCAGCCTATTGATTGATTACAAATAAAGGGGTTGAAAAGAGTGATGAGGGGTTGTATGGAAATATCGACATTTTTAAAGCTAGGAGATAAAACTTATTTTTTAGATTGTTTAATAAATATTACTTGCAAAGTTTGCAAAATCCTCTTTTTTGAAGCTAGAACGATAAAACTTTTTCTTTGCCTATTTTGGGTTAGATTACTAAATCATTTTTCTTCATTTGGTCAAGGTAACTATAACACGCGGACGAAATCGCGGGCACAGCTAGTTTTTTATAATTTTATTAGTTATCTACTATTTAAATGATGCATTCTTATGAAGAATTAAGCAATCTATTATATAGATAAGATAAATATTATAATTATTGTGAAATTATGATAACAACTGTATCATCATTGATATAGTATGGATTTCTACAGTCATCTGCTTAGATAATAGATACCTGTATCTTAACTATTTCTGTTGCCACGCAACTTATAATTCTACTGCATTAATAATAAAGTACTGAATTTTATGACATCTGCTCTTAATCAAGAGCAGATTGCAAGAATTTTTTTTAAATATCATCAATGATCTTTGTTCTTTCTAATATTACAAATGCGGAAGTTTATGTTTATTTGAAGCAACTACTGAATGTATTTTAATGAAACTTTACAATAATATAGCATATACATCAGAATGACAAATAAATTTCACGGGAACCGGAGCTAGTTTTTTATATATTTTGAATTATTCAATGCCACTTATTTTTAAATAGTATAATTTTCATTTGTAGAGAATAAAGCAGTTGGTGTAATGAAACCTGGCCATTGTTTCACTATTGAGCCGATGATCAATGAAGGTGGTTGGCGCGATGAACAGTGGCCAGATCATTGGACCGCCGTCACTGCTGACGGCTCACGATCAGCTCAGGTTCGATATTAAATATTTTTTTATTATACATATTTGCATAGATAATATATAGTGTAACACGTAAACGATGGTATACCAAGCCAAGAGACACTAATACTGTTGGTGAAAATTAAAGAAAAAAAAGTTTCATGTATAGTAACTTTGATGTATTACAGTTTGAACAAACGTTGCTGGTGACGGAGACTGGTTGCGATATACTCACGAAGCGCGCCACCGGCCGCCCATGGTTCCTCGACCAAATGGAGAAACTGAAATCCAAGCCTTAGTCGAACCGCCTTCGATCCACTGAGGTGATATTCTAAATCACATTACCAATTATCTATAAAGCTAAACTCTCTGCCGTCTGATTTTATATCAAACGAATATTGTTAACTAGCAAGTAGTGTTTGTAATTTTATAAGTACTTTGTACGTTTAGGTTTTGGGAAAAATTGAATTTTTCCAATTGACGCGTTGTCAGTGGAATGTTTAGGAAATTTAAATTAATATAGCAATACTGTTTATAAAAGATTTTTTACAAGAATTCATAAAACCAAAGAAATAGTCAAGATGGAATATTCATACCTTTTACAGGTTGAGTCCTAAAGGTCATTATAGAACCAAAAGCCTGACTAAACTGAACTGAGCCGAACTATTCCCAAAGTATAAAATGACAATTATTGTGCGTTATATAATGGGTATATTAGCTGCCTTTTTCTTTCGGTGCCTTTACACGTATGCTCTTTAAGGCGCGAACAGGCTTTCACACAGGAAAATTTGTGCATGTTAATATAGACTGGAATATGCGAGCTGACGGCGCACGCAGTCTGTCTCATTCTCCTTGTCTACATTTACTTACACATTCTTTGCTGCATGAAGGCAGATTCCCGCGTGATAGGGTAAAGGCAGCTATTTACTATGAAAATAATATTTGTGAGCTCTCGATATTTCAATGCTCTCTTGGTCAAGTCGACTCACCCGTAAATATACCCTTTATATATGTACAATTTTAAACATCTTGAAAGAACGTTTGAATAGGTGGTCACGACTGTCTGAAATCTTCGTACTAAACTCGCGGTCACGTGATCAATTTAGTATCAAAAATTAGAAATGTATTCTCATTTCAACTTTGTTTGTTAGTAATAAGTATGTCTTAGTTCTGTACCTTTACGACTGATCCTGAAAATAGCGACAAATAAATTGAGCACAATTTTTATACTACGAAAACAGCGTACATGTAGACTACGCATACACACATTGTTTATCTATGACTGGAACTTTAATTTTTTTATTGAGTGCAATACATTATGGTAAACTGTGCATAATATTTAATATCCTAATAAGATTTAGTATAATTTTCCATAATTAGATCCACCTCAGTGGCTTTCATAGTTTTTTTAATTAATGTGTTTATATAGTTATTATATATAATATGCACATGTTATATAACATAACTATATAAATAAATTAGGTAGTTTTATATTATAAAAAGATAATTTGTATGCGTAAAAATTGTAGTTTGTATGATTATATAGATTTGAGGAAAAAAGGAACTGAATTTATTATGTTATTAAATAATATTTGTGAGTTTGTTAATTACAATCATTGTTCGATTAATTATAAATGACGAAATTAATAAATCATTTTGATTTTGTTCTCATTTGGCTCAATATTTTTTTCCATTTTTTCAATATATTTTATTCGTTAAACTCAATATCTAAAAGTACTGTATGGTATTATTAAATTAAATTATTGTTTTTTTTTTGTAAATGGTCATAATAACGTAAATTTAAAGAAATAAAACTTTATTACCTTTATACATTTGTTTTATTATTTATTACTAAATAACAATTTGGCATTTTTAATAACGTACTAAACTGCTAAATGCACTATAATAATTCTAATTTTATAAAATTAACAAAATTATTTACAACAAGAAGGTATCAAAAACCTCAAACCTACTCTAGGTTAATAACTTACCATCAGACAATAGTGGCATGAAAAAGTTAAATAAACAACATATATTTCATCCAAATTAGAATCCTATAAAGCCTGTATTTTGTAACAAAATGTGTAACGTTATTGAGATCCGTGTATTTACGTTGTTTCTATGGACTCTTCCTCAATTAACAATCTATCAGCTAGTATTAAAAAAATGATAGAGAAAGAATCTATAGACAGAGAAACATTAATTTTTAAAAATAACTTCTCTGTAACAATTTTGTCTTCAGGAATATATTTTTAAAAGTACCTACACATAACCCTGTACAGTTACCCTGTTTTCAATCAATAGATTCTGTAATCTGATGAGTAAAGTGAATATTTTACGATATTTAGATGTATTCAAACAAGTAGAAATTACAATAATCTATAACTACTCTTCATATTCTTCAAAAAGTGGTATGTAATCGTCACTCCTAGACCTAAGTTTGAGTCCAAAATGAGTAACGTGGTTAGGGTCTTGAGCATCATCTAACGCCTTAATCGTGGCTCCTTTCCAATCAGTGACGCTGTCTTGTTTTTTCGATAAAATTTCTTTCACATTTTTAATGTTGGCCAATTTAGATGTTATTATTTCTTTCTGAAATTTCATAATAAAAACGTTTTTATTAATATAAGTATTATTATTTTAGCAACAAGTATTCATAAAACACCAAAAACAAAACAGTTAATTTCTACACATACCTGCAAGGGATTATTCATATAACTGGCGTATATTCTCAGAACTGGTTCACCAGTTTTATCATCAAAAGTCAGTTTGCTTTTTGGAGGTATTTTAGCTTTAACAACAGTAAACTTTTGCGGAGTGATTGCAGTCATTGACGCGTTTTTATTTTCTTCCACTGCCATGAGACGTAACGGTGCTCTTTTTGCAATAAGACTATTCTTTTGTTTATTGAAATCATGATCTTCACTTATGGTAGCTTCTACTATTTGTCCAGCATAAACAGCTCCTTCCTGTGTCACTTTTGGCACTTTGTCACTTGCCCTCAACAAAGTATAAGCAATATTAACAGAATCTGCTGTTTTTGTAAATGGAACACCCAAGAGTGGCTTCACTTCGGTTTCATTGCTTTGGTTTTCCGATTTTTGTACAAAGTAAGCTTTTAAATCTGGATTAATAGTCGTTGCAGTCATGTTCTCTATTTTTGTCGTTTGTTCCTGTGGTTTTTCCACTTGTACTAAAGCAGCGGCTGCTCTTACGTCGTTAATTGCTGAGTAAAATCCTTTAGCTATAGTGTCTCCGACACTTTGTCCTATTTGAGCGTAATATATAGGTGTAGCATTTTGCACTGCTTGTGGTTCCTTTGTTTCAATGACGTATTTAATTGTAGTAGTTCCGGGCTGTGATTCAGCCGTTAACATTTCAACAGTTACATTTTGGGGTTCAGTTACTGATACAACTTCGATTTGATTTTCTGTAACGTTATTCACTATTAGTTTTTGAGGAACTAAAGTTACTATCGTACTCTCTGGTGTTTCTCTTTGTACAACATGTTTGGGCGGTTCAAATGACGTTGGAGTCTGCTTAGTTATTTCTTCGTGTTCTAATAAATAAAGCGGCGATGGAGTTTGAGTCTGTATTTGTAATGGGATTGAAGATTGTGGAGGATCCGCAGCATATGGTATAAACTCCACAGACGGGAATCTTTGCATTAGTTGGCCTTGTAATTTCTGCAAGAATATTGGATCTGGTTGGTACACCACTTGTGGTGATTGAATTACAATTCCATCTGCACCACTGTTGGTAATATCTTGCGTTGGGATACCGTTGAATCCCTGCAAATGAAATCAGAAAATCTATAGAGACCACGTTAGATTTGAGGACAAAATAATTTCGAGAATGAGCCGTTGTTGCCACTTTCCATGATATGTGCCCTTACTGCAGTTATAAAAAACAGCAAATTACGTCTTGTTCCTCAAAAAAATATTATTATCTAAATAAAAATTAATATAAATAAATTATCCGATATATTTTACAAATTAAGTTGTAGTGTCTGTCGTAATATTTCTTTTTTATTTAACGAGCTTGCGGCTCACCTGATGGTAAGTGATTACCGCCCGTGAGCACTCGAAACACCAGGGGAATTGCAAGTGCGTTTTAAATAAGCCAATTTCTTGAAGGTTTCAATATCGTATCGTTTCGGAAATATCATGGCTGGAAGGCGGAATTTCGGTCAATTTAGCACAAATAGTATAAATTTCAAACACTATTTATGTGTGTACCTGCATTGTAAACTGATGAGGTATTGGTACCGGAGACTGAGGTATAGGAGGCTGTGGTAGAGCGATTGCAGATAGACCATAATCTGATGCAAATTGTAGTGCAACACCATTTCTCACCAGGGATTGAATTTCTGGTTGCGTTAATGACTGAAATGTTATTAGATTATTAGTATTTACATTTTATCCATGTCATATACATTATCCTAAGTACCCTTCAGAATTTACCTGTTTATAAACCATACATAAAAAAGTGTTTTTTTTTTCTTTTCTTTAAAATAAAACTCAACCCAATGATTTTTATACCACCGTTTGTACTGTGGTGACAATTATGCATATAAAAAAATAATTTTATAACCATAGAAACCGCGCGACCCCGTAATCACTATATTTATTTTGTTTTTTGGTGAATGTCCTGTATCATGAGAATTATACCTGGCTTTTAGTTCAGTACCTATAAACCCTGTATGAAATTTCTTAAACACCTCATATGTAAATGAATGCAATTTTCTACAAGTAAATTTAATATACCCTGACATAATTGATATTTTATTTATAAAAAAATACATATATAATAAGTAGTCCACGTACCGTTGCTTTTGAAAATCCAACGGGAAATTCAATTTTTGGACTGATTTGGTACATAGGTTCAGCAGGTTTTTCTGTAACTTCGTACACGGATTTAGACTGTAAAATTATGATAATATTAATATTACTCCGAATGAAAACAAATTTACGCATATATTTGTATAATTATATGTATAATCATTTGCATATGAAAGAAGATACTTAAGTCAATCTATTGTATCACTAAAGTGTGGTGGATAAATGGGGACTAGCGGGATTACTACTAGTACTAGTAATGTAGCATGTCAGGTCGTGCTCCACGCAGTCCACCCCGGAAACCAGTGTTGTCAATTACTAATGGATACGTCATGATGGACTGATCTGACTAATTCGTTTTCATACAAATTATCTTCCTCTATTGCCCTGTAAGTTTTTACCGTTAGCGCAAGCGGGTACATCATTCTATTATCATCCATATATAAAAAAAACACTGTATAACTTACATGCTTTGCGACTAGATGGCGCTGTAAATAATACTAATATTATGGACGCGAAAGTTTATGATGGTGAAGTGAGTATGGATGGATAGACAGATGGATGTCTGTTATTCTTTCACATAAAAAGTACTCAACGGACTGACTGACGTAGTGATCTATGCACAGCCCAAACCACTGAACGGATCAGGCTGAAATTTGGCATGCAGGTAGATGTTATGACATAAGCATCCACTAAGATTTTAATTAATTCTACCTCCAAAGGGATAAAATAGGGGATGAAAGTTTATATGAAACTTTGTCAATTTTAAACCGTTCGGGCTGAGACTTTGCATGCATAAACCTACTATGACGTAGTTTTAAGTTTCGACAAAATTCTTTCTTAGGGGATCCTAAGAAAGAATTTTGATAAATTCCACCCCCAAAGGGATAAATTAACGCGAGCGAAGCCGCGGGCAAAAGCTAGTACAGTAATATAGTTTATACTATATATCAAAATAACAGATATATATATATATATATTATATAAAAATATATTATGGAAATTCGCTGCGGTGACAGATAATTATACAAAAACAACAAGATATCTAAAACAGCATCTCACCTGATCTGTAATGTGTGATTTAGGGTGGACCAGACTTTCAGTAGCGTCGATGACCACGATGGGCTTCTCCGACAAGCTGAGGTTCGGTGCTGGTATGGTGTGAATAGCACCTGCCGGTCATAACATTCTGAACCAACTTGTATCCGTCCACAGCGTGATAAGATGTCACAATATTATGTTTTCCTAGGTTTTGTACTGTTCTGTATACCTACTATTCGAATTTAAGCAGCGTCCTGGGTCTTACAATTACAAAATTCGGTTGAATTTTTAAATATAAAAAAATATGTAATTTTGTTTGTCTACTTTTATAAAAAATATTACCGTCTTGATTTTCATTTCACATGTTTTCACTACATATTAATTTAACTATTTCAACTCTATTACTGCATCCTGTTTTTATACTGAATTGACCTGGTACAAATAAAAATCCTGGTTTTTTTAATTTGGGGTTAGCAACTCTATGTTCGATAAACACGTATAGATCAGCGATAAGGTATTAGATATATAATAAAATTGACGAATTGCTAGCCACGATGTATGATGTATCTAAATTAATTTATAAGAAATATATTATTGAAATCCATACTAAATGCGTCAGTAGTATCTTAAATAAAGTGATTTAGATATCTTTTTGAATCGGTATCCTAAAATTTTATTAGATTATGACTTTTGAAAAATGACATCGTAACACTGTGGACGGAATAAATAATATTACTGCAGTGCATGAAACACAGAAAAAAACAATTAGCTACAAGTAAGAAAATACATAGATTTCATTTTAGTGTGACTATTTCTTCGCATTTCGTGAGCTAAGGTATAGAAAAAAACAAACAATACGCAGTGCAAGTAAAAGAAGTGTATATAAATAAAGCTAAATAAAATAAAAGTTAACAGGTAACAATTGGGTATAAATTTCGCTAAAATTAATATAGGATAACCAGTAAGTAATTCCTCCAGATTGCATAAACAATTATCGAAATTATTTCATTTTTAGCAAAATATAGTGTAAAACACCAGCTTCATGCGCGACGTCGTTTGCATGAGCGTAACTCACTAGGATCAAAAGTGGCTTATGTTCTTCATACCAGATGCTATGTAGATTTTAATTACAAAATGATTTGTTAAATCTTTAAGGCGTGAAAGAATAAATAAACTGACTTTAGAATTTATAATACATATCTAATAGCTTACGTCGTATCTTTTTATGTAGGTAATTGCAATGGCAAACATGCTGATGGCGCACCCTGAAGGTAAGTGGTAACCGCCACATATATATTACAACAGCCATACGAACATCAGGTTATCCTGTAACATCCGCGATACTGCCCATGCGTTCAGAGGACTAAGATTTCATGCTTTTTAACCTGTAATTTTACCCTTTAGCTCATTCGTAGCTATGTATTCTGGAGGATTAAAATGTCATGTTTTTAACCTGTAATATGCTGCTTTAGCTCACCTTACTACTGAAACACTTATAATAAAGTAAGCTGTTTGGTATATAAAATGAACAGGACTGAGATACCGTCGCAGACGACTTTTTATAAACTCTACCTCGATTGTATATTATGGAATAGTAACTATAGTATTTAGTGGTCCACTTGTGAAATGTAACGTTACTCTTCGGTAAATTCGATACATTAATGGATTTCTATTATTTTGTATAATGCTGCTACCAATAGCATGTGTAAGAACACAAATATTCAGAGCGGAAACGAAGGAAGGGTCACGACTTGTTCTATTGGTGAACAAATTCAGAATAGGAATTAATTGGGTGTAGGTCCCATACTGCAACTCGTGTTTCGCCTAATAATAAAGCTGGGATATAGCTTGGAAGCCTAGTGTTAACTGTGCGGCACCCAAAAACTGACCTTATCACCTAACTTCCACAAAAAAATCTGAATCTATAAAAAATATTTTTTTAAATCGCCCAAGTAAATATATGAAAAAATTAAATATCATCTCGCCAGTAAGATCCTATATACGAGTATGTACTTGGTATAGAGAAAAATGGTAATAGAAGAGAAGTGCGACTGTGCACAATAGCTATTCAACCTGTACCACCATCATCAGTTCGCAGCGATGGGGTGGCGGAGGCGGCTCTTATGAACTCGTACTCCGGCGTCACGGGCGTTATCGGAGGCAATTTCGCCGTAGTCTTCCATGGGCTTCCGGTGAATACCTTGCGGGGAACAGACTGGTAGTGCTTTACTGCATATCTGTAATATGAACAGTGAATTAATATTTATGTACGTCGGCAAAAGGACCTCGTAAATCTACACTCGGGTTACAGGTCCCGGGAACTATGACCGGCACCCGCGCGGTGAATCCATCATCACATGGTATCATATGATGATACCAAAAGCTATTCCGGAGGTCTAAGTAAGTAATGTCATGCCTTCAAATCCTGTAAATTTATTACCTTATCTCTTACCTTATGCTGGATATTACAAAGAAAGCTGCTTGACGGTTAAGTGAAACCGGTACCTATAGGTACCTAATAATATAATATAATAATAATAATCTCAGGACAATTCACACAGCGCCATCTAGACCCAAGTTAAGCTAGCTAAAACTTGTGTTACGGATACTAGATAACTGATACAAGTACATAGATATTTTTTTCGTTAATACATACATATTATATATAGAAAACACCCAGACCGATACAAACAATCATAATCATGAATACAAATGCTTGTGCCGTGCGAGGAATCGAACCCGCGACCATCGGACGTAAAGCGGTGTGCTAAACCACTACCGAGGTCGTCTACTATATAATCGTCTAATATATAATAACAATAATATGCCTGGCCAATTCACACAGCGCCATCATGTCAAGCCAAGCAGAGGTAATCAACGGAAGTAATGCGGTTTGCTAAAGCCTGTAAAGAATCGCCCACTCTTACTATCCAGTATTTTGTGATAATAGTAGTAATATATCTTCACAATTATCCTAGATAGAGAAGATTATAGCTATATTACTATTATCTATTGCACTAGATTTCACTATGTAGATCAAATTGAGATGAATATAGACAAGAAAAAAACCTTCTTACCTATGCGGTGGATTTCTATAAATCACATAGGGCACTCGGTGTGAAGCTGCCTGAACGAGCCGAGGATGTGTCCACGGTCTGGACAGTGTTACTCCTGGCCTGAACGGCACAGGCCCTCGGATCCTGTTTACATTTGCCATACGACTGATGTACGCTGCTTGAGTTAGCGAGCATATTGTGAGGTAGAGAATCTGAAACTGAAACATAGTATATATGAGTAACAGGAACACTGGACTGAATTCAGGAAAAAGCATACTATGTACGTTTTCGATATATTAACTATATTCACATCGATTTCTGACGTATTCATCAATAAAATATAATAAACAGACACTTCGTATTTTTAATATTAGTAGGAATAAATTACTTAGTAACATTTGATGGGTTAGGCGATTTAGAAGTTTCACAGTGCTTTATTTTTCTAAGTTCGCGGGTTCAATCCAGCATAATATCACAGATACATAATATTAAACATTTGCACACATCAGTATATTATGTATATTTAGTATCATGTGTATTTGTATTGACTTGCCTGTTTTCCATTTATGTATGTTAGTATTTATTTACAAATGTTTGTAAGTTATCTACTACCTATAGTACAATTTCTCTTATAGCTCGTGTCTAGATACTTCTATAAGCTAGTCCAGGTCTAGACCTAAAGAATATTAAAGGGGTACTTTAGTATATATTAACTGTAAGCAATAGCAGGAAAATACCTGATACCCTAACTGTCCTAATTAATGAAGCAAGTATAATTCTAAGTAGAGATAATGAAATGGTGCACCCACCTGCCCTAACTATATATGCTGGTAGGGCACCAGTGGAAGAAGATAAGATGAGCTTGAAGTCAGGGCAGTTAGCCCATTGTGACCTACATATTCGCTATATACTAAGCACTATACTCTTCAAAATGGTAGTCAACATGAAGGGGTATATTGATATCAACACGGTTATTAGTCCCCATTACTGACAATCACCTCAGTAGCGGATAATTGGGGATGATAATCGGAGAATGGTTGACGATGAAAATACGCTCTGAGCGTATTTGAATGAATAACTACACCGATCTACGTCAACATAACCGGTTCGGTTATTGCTACGAGAAAACGGTTCTTGGTAAACATTACCACGACACATTACGATTATTTACAAATGGCTGAATGGTATTCCGGGAGATGGCTGGACGACAAATTGTAGTTTATTAAACATGCTAAGTATAGAGAGTAGATCACGTGTCGTGTTAAAGTATAATTTTGTATCGTTTACGAAATAGGCGCGTAATTTGTGATCTCCTGTGAAAACTGTTGCTTTTCTATCATAGCTTCTGTCTGCAAGTTTGCAGAAAATTGATCAAAAAATAAAATCGTAATCAGTCTTTATCTTCATCATCCTTCTATAGATTTGTGCCAAACTTCATGACAATTGAATATGATAGTAGTTAAGGTTATGTACCTAGTATTGTTCATGTATATGTAATGTAATTTAAATTGTACTCTATTTTCCGCAATCAGCCTCCCACCTGGGCCGTTGTACGTGTAGTTATTATTTTTCATGTATATAGCTAACGGGTACCAACTTACTTTCAGGCCGTCAGATTGTTTGCTTTTTTTATGTAATTGCAAATGAGAAACAAACTCACGACCGATAAACGTTGCCTATACATGAACATCACTACATGGATTTTTTATATAGTTGGAATGAAAACAATGTCGCCTATGTAGATACATGAACAACACTATAGACATCATGTTATCACGGGACACCCCTGATAGTACTCATGCCATTCCAGAGGACTAACATCATGTCTCGATACACAATAACAAACTGATTTACTTTTGCATAAAAACAGAAATCGTCGTTATTCAAATTTTAATTGACTTAATATGAACACGCTTAAATCGGCGTTTAGTAATTCTATCACAACATTGGAATATTGATATTGATACTTAACTAATGATATTACTATCAACATACCGTTGGTGCAGGCTGGTGCAGGATATCATATCAAACACTTTAAAAATTATAGAAATAACTACGCTGTCATATTTATACCTACACATTTATTTTAAAAATTTCACTTTCCACACATTTAACGAGAGTTGATCTCTGTTCTTAATTATTCCGATCATGCGAGTAGAGGTGGTGTAAAATGTGAATGTCTCCAGTAAAACAGATGGTTACGGTCGGGTGCGGACGAAAACGAGTTAAGTTGGCATAAATGATTTCGTACGATGCTCTGTCACTATAGTTTATACAAAGGTGTATAAAAATAACTACAAGCCTTATGACTTACTGAGAATGTATGTTTCTGTAGATGAAGTTTTTAAAATCAGTTAAGAGGAGTGTGTGCTCGCTGTAAAATTACAATGTACAATAGATATTCTTTATTATACGTTATATCTCTCTCTGTATAGAGACCTTGCGTCTCCCCCAATCGCTATAGTGCTACTTTTATTAGAAATTTTGACGTAATCATTTACATTGTAGGTACTCTACTCGACTTACTTTAATTCTCCATTGGTGTCCTGTTAGCATATACCGTTAAAGTAATTCCAATATCATCCATAAAAAAAAATTTATTAGAATTATTTAGATTGGATAAGTCGTCAATAGAGCTATTAATCAGTCCATTTCTGTATTATTTTATTTACCATTTTCACGGTCAATTAAATGCTAACAATATTTTCTTACTTACGCTAGATACTCTAATTAAATCATCGCTATTTTCTAATAGCATCCAATTATGAAGTTAAGTGAGAGCATTGACTTAGCGTTCACGCTAAAGCGGCAAATGAAACGGATTATTACTACTACTGTATGTCGTGCAAAAACAACAACATTGCATAGGTAGCTTACGATTTATATAAGTGGAATTATGTTCTTAGAATTAATTACATATAACAAAAATATTGAATATAAATTATAGGCTATCTAGGCTATCTAGCCTATCTAGCCTTAGCTCCGGAATGGCAACGTATGACGTTTATCATGACATTTATGCCATCAGATGGTTCATCTTTCCAATTAAATAAAGAAAAAATTAAAAAATGTTTTGTTATATCCATAATATCACTAACAAGAGTATATCATTAATTATATATGCTTCTAATTCATCCAATTAACTTACTCTTATATAATATTTTATATATTTAAAGTAAAAGAATATTAAGAATGCTATTTATTTTTTTCGAGTCATGGCTCCACTGAAAATCAGCGCTGCAGTGACAAGCTGCGGCACAAGCGGAGTGGAGTGGGTAATGTAATACTTGAGGACAATTCACGCAGCGACATGTAGTCCCAAGCTAAGCAGAGCCTGTGTTGTGGGTACTAGACAACTGATACAAATACATAGATACTTTTTTTTTTGTAAATACATACATAATATACATAGAAAACACCCAGACCGATATGAACAATTATACTCATGAATTCAAATGTTAGTGCCGTGCGAGGAATCGAATTTGCAACCTTTGGAAGTAAAGCGGTCTACTAAACTAGACCACCGAGGCCGACCATTATTTTTATATTGTTATCACAACCTACATATTTAGCATAGGTATATCTATAGTTGCAAATAATGTGCTAAGGTAAATGTTAGTGTACATATTACACATATAGTAGTAGTTACTCGAGTTGGAAACGGTATGAAATGAGTCCGTCCGTGCATATTGTACACATTACAAACAATAAATAAAGCAGAACGTTAACGGTGCTCCTCAGTCTAATTGCTTGGGTCCGCTAGAAAACCATACATCGCCTTACTTCAAACTAATTGCCACTTGGAAAATTTGCTGTTGGAACATTGTATGTATGTATTTAAAGACAGAAATGAACAAATACATTACTGTATTATTTCTTTTTTAAATACTAACATTACAAAATACGTCAGTTGGTTACTCTTTTATCAAAGTAGAAGTTAGTCATTTAATCATTTAAGATATCCGCCTGTTTTATCTATTTTCAATTATGTACACAGAATGTGTGAACAGAAGTACTGACAAGAAACTCTTATGGTATTTTTTTAGAACAATCTCATAACCAGAATGTCCGAAGAGGCGATTAGGCGAATAAAGACAAACATGAAGTGAAATAAATTTACTTAAATACAAGGAATAATATTAATATTCCGTTCATATTTAAGGAATAAAGTTAATATCGAATGCAAGTCCAAAAATTTGATGCAAGAGAAGATAAACGACAAACGAGAGAAATTGTGTCTATGGCTGGCTTGCCGTTCCCAATTAAAAAAAAGGAAAATAAAGTTGCAATTGTTAAATTAGTATGTTGTCAAAATAAATTAAATAAAATTCAAGTAGGTAATTATTATAATCATATTTTTTAACAAAACTAGTTATTAAAAGAGGCGCGCGCATTGTTAATTTAAAAACTCAGGACGATGCGATGTTAAGTCCAGGACGTCCCAAGTCATTACAAGTTAGCAACTCTATAGTAGGGTTAAATTATCCCGGTCACTAAACTATAAAATACCTCTAATTTTGTTAATAATAGATTTTACGTGAAATAATTCAAATGTATGTATCCAATTGTCTACTACTACTGTGAAACTACTGAGATCAATTAAAGTGAAAAATTATATATTTTTAATAATAAAATAAACACAGGACAATTCACACACGCCTATCTAGTTCCGAATTAAGCAGAGTTTGTTATGGGTAGCTACTAACTAATATACATTCTTTTGTGAATAATACATAATGTACCTAGAAAACACCCAAAACAAACAATCTTACTCATGAATACAAAAGTTTGTATCGTGCGAGAATTCAAACCCATCAGAAGTAAAGTCTAATATTAATTCCCACTATGTGGTTTATGCAATGAAAAGCTGACATCCTTAGTTGTTAATTAATGCTATTTATATATTTACGTTTAAGGATGTGGTTAGTACGACTCACTACATCCTACATGTAGATTTAGAACTGTAATTAATATGTCAGTGGTACCTATATAATAAATAACATAGATAACATGAGGCTAGTCTGAAGGTGTGCACTCCAGACAGACCGGTCCATCCAAGTTTCACATCGTGTACTAAATAAGGCAATGGTAGTGCACGGTCGCTTGATAGAATGTCGTCACAGATGTTATTATTATCTATATATGTTATGAACTAACTGTTAGTGCCTAATATATCTACTTATATACTAACAGCATCGGTGGGCCCGATGGTCGCAGGTTTATTCCT